TTTATAATGTCATCTTGTTACTACTTCCTTACAAAGATATATTTATTCTTAGTGGTTTTTAAGTTTCTTGTAAATTGGTTAAGACATTTGTAGGAATTGTTTCTGAATTTTCAGTAGTAATTTAGTATTGAATAAAAGAAAGAGTTTTTTGAGCAGAGCGAGTTGTAGTTTCATACTGTTCTGTTCTTTGTATTAGAAACTGGACCAGGATCTTAACGAAGTGAAGGCGCGTGTTGAAGAACTGGACAGAAAATACTATGAAGTGAAAAATAAAAAGGATGAACTACAGAGTGAAAGAAAGTTAGTAACTAATTGAAATATGTGTGAATCTCACTTAATGTGAAGGATCCCAACTGTGTAGTTGTTAACATGGCATGTAGGTATGTTTTTGAAATCTGGCCATGTATGAACTCCTGCACTTCTCATTCCCCTTAGATTAGCAGTCTTTGAGAATAATAATAGTAAAAAAACCTTCAGACTTCATTCACATTTAAAATGTTTTTTTTTTTTTTGTTCTGTAGCTATCTGTGGAGAGAAGAGAATGCAGAGCAACAAGCTCTTGCTGCAAAGCGAGAGGATTTAGAAAAGAAACAGCAGCTTCTCAGAGCAGCAACAGGAAAGGTAATATCCCATGTATTTGAGAATTCCTTGTGGAAACTTTTCTTCTCAAAGGACAAGTCATAGTCATATCTAAAATGACAGTTAATTGTTTTGGCTGTGGTCTTAATGTCATATTTAAGATGGACAAATTATATTTGTGAGTGGAATTCTTCAAATATTTGTAGCTCTAGAACTCCTTGGAAATTAGTTTTGTAAGATCAGGGTCATTGAGGAGAGAGCCAAAAGTGGGGAGCATGTACTTTTGATTCCTTTTTGCTTAAAGGAAAAAAAAAAAGGCCATGAAAATGGTAGGCTGATACTGAAAGTATCTTCCATATTGAAGTATCTTCCATTAGAGCTATAGGTTAGTTAGCAGAAACCTGACAAAAAGCAGGCTAGAACTTTGACAAAGTTAAAGGTAAAATGGACATTACTTCTACATCTCTTAATTGCATTACAGTAATGAGTTGTATTTTAACAGGCCATTCTGAATGGGATAGACAGCATAAACAAAGTTTTGGAGCACTTTCGTCGAAAAGGCATAAACCAGCATGTTCTAAATGGATATCATGGCATTGTGATGAATAACTTTGAATGTGAACCAGCTTTCTACACCTGTGTTGAAGTTACTGCAGGGAACAGGTAATTGTGCTCTTAAGTAAAACTTAAGATAAAGCAGCTGCTGTGTGACAGTTATTGGTGCTAGTTGCTACTGACATTTTTAGTCTTTTGAATTTGAGCTCTTGTCCGGTTTTGGTTAAAGTGCCTTCTGTATAGCATGACTGTACTGCTACTTCTCTGAGAAGGAACTAGGAAGAATTCTGCCTATTTAAAAATGAGTCTAGCTGCTCTTGATCTTGTTTAAAGAAAAACCCAATACCTACATCAAAATAAAACAAAGACCCTTAAAAAAAGGCCCCAGACCCACATTCCTGATACTTCCCAGAAACTTCCCCGAAGGACTGATGGTGAGGCTGAGCCATATTGAATAAAATGGGTGGCATCTTCCAGTGAGATGAATTCAACAGTAAGCAGTCCTAATGTTTTAATAGTTAACAGTCAGTAAGAATTATTTCACTTACAGTAGAAAATCTCATGGATGTGAATGGTCTCTTAACTGTCAACCTGCTATTTAAAAGCTATCTGAAAAGACTGAGTGTCAATGAGTCTGCATGTAATATGTGTTCCAGAAGTAAGTGCCTGATGGGTAATCCATCACTTCCTGCAGCGTTTGACACTTCAAATTAGTATAAATTGTCTTTTTGAGTGATCAATCCCCTGTTCTAATTCATGAGTAGTCATACAAATTCTTGCTTTAATGAAATGTAGATAGTGGCATAAGGGCAGGTAAGAGGACAGAGGTGACATGTTCTTGCAAACTGTTACAAAGAAGTGCTGATGCTACTGCAATTTGAAATGCTGTCCCTCTTCTATGTCCCTCATCTGTGTCTGCATGAATAAAGGTGTCTCTTCAAAGTGCTTCACGATTCTCTACATCCTTTTGTGCCCCGCAGTTTACAAAAAGCAGTAATAAATTGTAGCTCAGCTTGCAAAAGAAAGGTAGCGTCTTTCAATCCCTCTTCTAGTCCTAGTCATTCACTGGGAGGTAGATGTGGTCTCTGTTAATGGTGTAGAGGCATAAGATGCAAACTCTCTAAATCCACGAAGAGAGGGATGAATATTGTATATTGACACAAGGTTTGCAGTGGAGCCAAAAAAGGCTGTGCACCCAGATTCTGTATGCATACTGAACTGCTTTTGTGACTGGAGGGTGGAGTGTGAAATTCTTGGCTGATCGCATTTTAATGACAGTGAATAGAGTGCATCCGCTTGCTTATTCTAAGGCAAGGACTCAGAAAATGGAGTAAAGCTTTATATTTGTTACTTGCTGGTACCTGTATGCTTCTTCTTCCCACAGAAATATATTAGTGCTTTCAGCACATTAAAGTTTTGCTAATTTGTTGGGCTTCTTAATTAGGTTGTTTTATCACATTGTGGATTCTGATGAGGTCAGTACAAAGATCCTAATGGAATTTAACAAAATGAACCTTCCTGGAGAAGTTACTTTCCTCCCTCTGAACAAGCTAGATGTGAGAGATACTGCTTATCCTGAGACTAATGTGAGTTTGAGTTCCTTTCAAACCTTCTTCTACTTGAGAATTACAAAGCCTGATGTTTGGAATTGGTGGTATTGTGTATTGCCCACCAGTTGCTTTGCTGGTGAATGTCTGTAATAAAATACTTCTAATGCATGCTTCTCAACGTAAAAAAAAAACACCTCTGTTATAGGAAAATACTTTCTTACCAGGTATTTGCTCTTCAAAGTTTAACTTCACCTTTATACATAAATAAATTATACTAAAAAGTGGTGGAATTCTATTGTAGCCTTCTGCCATAGGCAAAAGCTGAAGAGCCATATTAGGTGTTACAATTATGGACAGTTTCTCAAAGCTACTGAAAATGAGTTGGGGTTTCTTAGATTTAAAAATGCATAAATAAACCTTCAGTGACAACCATTTAAAAGTAGTTCTGAAATAATTTCAAGAAAATACCTGCTCTTACTTGAAGCTTTAGCAGTGAGTTGTGTAAATGTTGGCTGCTTCCTCCAATATTCATGATAGAATAAGATCTTTAAAATAGATTCTTTTTTTCCCCTCATATAAATACAAGAAAAAAATAGGAAACAAGCATACTTGTAGTGTGCTTATTTTTTGAAGGGCTTTCCTAGGAAAACTATGTTAATGTTTGTGTCCTGCCCTGTACAGAAAGGAATAATTTCTTTAGTGGAAAGCATTTTTACTGCCAATTTGTGATCCTTACTGAATTGTCTCAGTAGCAATTGATTGGATTGCTCAATCCTTGGATGAGATTCACGACACACTCTTGGTCGACTTAAGGCTCAAGCCTACCATTAAATGCTAAAATTGCCAAATCTTGCACTTGATTTCCATAGAGTATTTGTGTTTCTTGGGAATGTTCAGTCAGTGTGTCATCCTTCTACTGACTGACAGCTGTTTTTTTTCCAATGTATCATTCACACTATTGTGCTTTTGAGATCAGGGTTTGACATCTTGTATGTATATAAAGATACACACAGCCCCAGAAGTCTTCATTTGAGAAGATTATTGACTGTGAAGCCAATTCAGTGAATATGCTATGCTAAACTTTCAGGCTAGAGTGTATTCCATTTTTACTCTTGGTAGTAGTTCGTTTTTTCCAGGGATCTCTTGAATACTGATATATGAACTAGTTGCAATACATATGCCACATTTGTATCAGTATGCTCTTCTCATTAAAATCACTGTCGTTTCAGGATGCCATTCCTATGATCAGTAAACTGAGATACAATCCAAGATTTGACAAAGCTTTCAAACATGTTTTTGGAAAGACTTTAATTTGTCGTAGCATGGAAGTGTCTACCCAGCTGGCCAGAGCTTTCACTATGGATTGTATTACTCTGGAAGGTAAATATTGCAATTTTAAATGTCATTTATTGTAAAAACACAATCGCTGGAATGTGAGGCTTGTTAAACATGGTCTGTTAGTATTGTCAAAGTTGGGTTATTTTAAATAATAGTATTCTTGACTGAGATGTGCAAGGGTGCACTTGCTGAAGTACATGCTTCATAGAATCTAGAATGGTTTGGGTTCAAAAAGACCTTAAGATCATCTAATTCCAAGCCCCTGCCATGAGCAGGGACATCTCACACTAGGCCATGCCACCCAAGGCTCTGTCCAGCCTGGCCTTGAACACTGCCAGGGATAGAGCATTCACCACTTCTAAATACAGAATTTCTTCACAAGCTGTTGAATTTTCTTATGATCTAAAATCAGTAGCTATGTCTTTCCATCCTGAGAATTGTAAAGCAGATTAGGTCTGAATTCATCCAATTTGTTTAATCCAATTTAACAGGCATTTATTTCCCACAAACTCAAACTAGTGTTTAGGGTGTGAGTATGCAGTCTTAATTACTGAGAAGTGCAAGGTGAATTCTTCTCTGTACCAAACATGTTTGCATGTTGTGTTCTCTGAAGTAATCTGTGCCTCTTGTCAGTTGCCTGGAGAGCAAATTCCCTGCAGTCTTAATTGTTGTCTTTTTGTCTCAAAGTCAATATGAAAGACTTCCTAAGGATGCCTGAGGAGGAAATGATTTATTTTTCAGGAACAGCATACTCTAAAAGCCACAGATGCTGCTAATTACTCAGCTCCCTTGTCCCTCTCACAGAAGATCTGAGATTACTGTGTGTTTTTTTTTTTTTTTTAACTGGTAGTGCTAGGCATTTGCATTTTCCCCTTCATGGAAACTTTTTTTTTCCTTAGATCTGCACGGTTTCAGAAGTTAATTCAGAACAAGCAAAAAAATTTAGGCAATGCTTAAAGGAGATCATAGAAGGAGATCATACTTACGTGGCATGGGAGACAACATGATCAAGCAGGTGGTTTTCCCAGGGCGAGGCTCATCCCTTGCACTCCAGGTGTGCTGACCCCTGTGATTTCCCCAAATGTGGGAAACTCGACTGCATAATTTGCGGTAGTGGGGGACTGCTTTTTTTCTTTTTAAATTTTTGGTGTCCTTGCCCATGGCAGGTGGGTTGGAACTAGATAATCTTAAGGTCCTTTCCAACCCTAACTGTACTATGATTCTAAGTCTGCATTGGTCTTGAGAAAGGAAATGCACTTTAAACTGAATATAGAATCATAGAATGATTTGGGTTGGAAAGGACCTTAAGATCCTCTAGTTCCAGCCTGCCATGGGCAGGGACACCTCAGAACGTGTCACCCAAGGCTCTGTCCAACCTGGCCTTCAGCACTGGCAGTGATTTACCACTTCTTTGGGCACCCTGTGCCAGTACCTCACCAGCCTCGCAGTAAAGAACTTCTTCCTTATATCTAACCTGAACTTCCCCTGCTTAAGTTTGAACCCATTGCCCCTTGTCCTGTCACTACAGTCCCTGATGAAGAGTCTCTCTCCAGCATCTGTAATTGCTGTAAACATATGTGATTCCTGATACCTATGTGGTGCTTCTGTAGGTTAGTTGAAATATTTTAGTTAATTGGAAGAGTTGTATTGTAGAAAGTTCTCTGAACATATGGCCAGTGTATAGTGTGCAGCTAATGGTCTGTTATGCTCTTAGGTGATCAGGTCAGCCATCGCGGTGCTTTGACTGGAGGTTACTACGACACCAGGAAGTCTCGCCTTGAATTGCAGAAAGATGTTAGAAAGGCAGAAGAAGAACTTGGTGAACTCGAAGCAAAACTCAATGAAAACTTACGCAGAAACATTGAAAATATCCTTTTGTTCTTGGGGAAAGCTTATATGATGACAGAGCTGCTGTTTTGCAGTAATACATGGGAAAAAAAAGTTACTAACTTTTGTTAGTATTATATGCTAGTTGTGGCATTTATTTTCACTGTTGCTTGTACAGCCTCGTTCTCTACGGCACTGTAGGGATTTTAGTTAACAAAGAAGTGATAAAACAGAAACAAAACCCCTGCTTTTGAAAAGTGGTGTACAACCAGTGAAGGTAACAGATTTTAAAGCACATCTGTTTTTTTTTAGATTAATGCAGCTAGTTAAGAAATTGTTTCTATACCACTCCTGTTAACTTGCTGGTGAAACTTCCGTTCTGGAAAAACTTGACTGAAAAATAGTAATTGGAACATACCTTTTCCAGTAGCTTGCTTCAGAGAGTGTCTGGCACTGTAAGCTTCAAGAAGAAAGGAGCTGTAATGGTTTGTCCCTGTTAAAATTTGATCTTGATCCTTAAAGCTTAGAGATGAGGTTAAACCCTACAGTATGAGGGTTTCTGTTTCTGTTAGGGTTTGTTGCAGTAACTCCTATACCCAGATACCCTTGTTATCTGCATTAATTTTCACTGCTTCATGTGACTCATGCAATAGTTTTAGTACTTGTGTTCTGAAATGGTGTGTTACACAGTCCACTTGCACTGTGGAGAGGAAACGGAAAGCATTATATTATAATTAAACTCTGAGCTGCATGACAGTTCAGTCTTTTCAGCATCTTTGTACAAATACTCAAGTAACTGTCACCCTTTTCTCTAATCCCTTTAATGCTACAGTGTGCATGAATTCTAGATACTGGATCTCAAAGGGACAAGGGAGGCTTATTCAGTTTTTTCCTCCATTATCCAGGTCATTCTGCCCCTTGAACTAAATTCCTTTGTTTTCTGAGCTGCAGCAGTGCATTAGAGACGTTTCTGGGCAGCAGATAAGCAGAACACTGAAGCCTGTTCTGAGATCTGCACCTGATTAGCAAAACTTTAAAAGTACATATGTACCTTGTTAAGACAGTGGAAGAATGTCAAAATGGTCTGTTAAACATGACTTAAATAGACTCAACCTGCCAACTGGCTTTGCATGAACCAGCAATAATGGATACTTTTCACCCTCTCATAACTCTGTGTAGGCAACGTGCAGCACCCAATTTGTGTACCTACAATTATGTATTTCAGTGTGTGGCATTTTCTCTTCCCTTAGGTATTTTCTAAACTACAGATACATAGGCATATGGTTTTAAAAAGATTTGTGCAGAAAGTATTTTTAACACTACCGCTACCCCTAGTGTGCATTGTACAGGTGGCATGTTTTTTGTAACTAGGAATTCAACTGGGAGCTTGAATTCCTGCTGATTGTAGTTAAATTACCAAATGACCATAGTCCCTTTGGTTCAAGTATAATTGAACTTTTAACAGGGACTGCTGTTCTGGAACTGAGAAATCTTTCTTGCTATAATGTAAGTCAAAATCTTTAGTAAGCCCCGAGTTTCCCTTAAAAGTTCAAATGTATCCCTGTGTTTTCCTGAGTGCCACATTGTAAAATGAACAACCAAATGAAGCTTTCCTTGTTTGTTCTTGGTGTTGATGAGTTGTCCAGGTTACTTTTGTTGATGATTCTTGATTTCTCCCATCTGACTCAATATTTTGTTTTTATGGGTATTTTGATGGCAGCTGAATACGCCAAACAATATCAGTGGAAGGTACTAGCAGGCATAACATGCCTTTTACAGCAAGGACAGAGTTTTCCTTAGCCCATGGTATGGATTAACAATGAGATTGACCAGCTAATGAACCAAATGCAGCAAATTGAGACACAACAGAGAAAGTTTAAAGCCTCTCGAGACAGTATTTTGTCAGAGATGAAAATGCTGAAAGAGAAAAGGCAGCAGTCTGAAAAGACCTTTATGCCTAAGGTATAGTATGGGGATACTGAAAGCTGTTACTGGTTTTATATATAATCTTTTCACTCAGATTACTGTTAAACTTGCCTTCCTTTCTGTTTAACGTCATAGTACGAAAACATGACTAGAGATATGTCACCAAAATACGTTTATATAAAGAGAAAATTCATATAAAGTTGGAGATTGCTCTGAGGAATGATTGTGTCTCATGTCTGTTCCGTAGCAACGCAGTTTGCAGAGCTTGGAGGCAAGTTTACACGCTATGGAGTCGACTAGAGAATCGTTAAAAGCAGAACTGGGGACTGATTTGTTGTCTCAGCTCAGTCTTGAAGACCAGAAACGTGTGGATGCTCTTAATGATGAAATTCGCCAACTGCAGCAAGTAAGGAAGTGAAAATGTCTTGCCATTAAATGTTGTACCTTTCTTTTCAATAAACTTATTTTTGTCCTTTTGTATGAAAAGTCACTTATGAATACAGTGTAACTGGTGTTTCATCAGAAGTCGTCAGGCGCGTTTGGAGCTTACTCACCTGCAAAGTGTATTTGCATGTTTTTCTCAAAGGCTGGGTGAATTTTGTGAGAATTATGGCTACTTATGTTAGAATCATTAGTTTCCTTGCTCCTGGTCTTGGGACTTTACAGAAATAAATGTTAGGTATTGACTGAAAGGAATGGTGAACAGATTGGGAAAAGTAAAATAATGCCTTTAAGCACCTGGGAGGCAAAAATGAAGGTTTTGTCTGACATCTGTGTTGTTGATAAAGTATTACTTAAATATAGGCTGTAAAGCTCTTCCAGGCTTATGAATTGGATTCAGAAGCTAATACAGTTTAAGAAAGTTACTGATTCGTACAGTCGACTTTTACACTAAACAACTGTACAGATACTTACCATTTGGTTCTTTTCTACCTGAAAAAATCAGAGCAACAGTCCAAAGAACTGTGTGATATTTTGTGCAGTTCTGTGTGAGAACAGTGTGAAGGATGGGGTTTGGTTTTTGTCTTTATTTTTTAACAAGTTAAAAATGGGTTTTTAGCAGTGAGATAAGGCAATTAATACTTTCTTTTTTATTTTACCAGGAAAACAGACAGCTTTTGAATGAGAGGATTAAACTAGAAGGCATTATCACAAGAGTTGAAACGTATCTCAATGAGAACCTGAGAAAACGCTTAGACCAAGTGGAACAAGTAAGGATTTTCTTTTAAATTTGCTTTTACAATCTGTTTGTTTATTTTCAGGCCTTTAACATGGTAATCATTTGATAAATAGTCATTCATTACCTGCATTAACAGTGGTGGGTTTTGCTTACCGATGTACAAGCAGAGTTGAGTGTTTTACTGAAATTTCAGCACAATATATTGGGCATGTGAATTTTTGTCACATCCCACTCTAAATACACAGCCTATATATAAACAGGACCACCATCGTCATGACAGATTGGTTTGAAAATCGAACTATTCTCTAAAACTGTATTAAAATACTTAATAGAGTTATTTGTAGAGTAGCAGAAGATAACTTGTTTGTCTAGCTTACACTTTTGTTTACCCTCTGTGCTGAAGCTTGACGGCATTTACTTTGTCCCATAGGAGCTGAATGAGCTTCGAGAAACAGAAGGTGGCACAGTTCTTACTGCCACGACATCGGAACTTGAGGCTATCAACAAGCGAGTGAAAGATACACTGGCACGGTCAGATGGTTGGTATCATCATTTCTTTTTCTTTAGAAAGAAAATTCTCCAGGGTTTTGAAAGTTCACACATACCATATTTGAGTTTAGAAATAGACCCTAGTATGAGATGTAATCATTAATTTTAGACGTGCTGTAGTAGTCACATAGGGTGTAGCAGATTTTTGGAACTTCAATGAAACAAGATTTTGTGCCTGTCCTACATAAAAGGAAGTGTCCACAGTTGCACACTGTAATATCAATAAGTATGTGTTGGTGATAACAGGCTTCTGGGCATAGTACTTTTGAAGCAACCTTCATACAAGCATTATCTTGCATAGTTGTTGAATTTTGTCTGACCTGTCTAAACCCAGGTTTCTGTCAAATGGCAAATAGCATCATCTGTGTGACTCAAACTTTTTTGCTTCTCTTTCTAGACTTTAACAATATAACTTTATTACATTTGTCAAGGATTTGTTTTAAAGCCACATACACATCTGGTGAAAAAAAGAAAGAAATTTTGAGTTTTCTGTCTGACTTTGTACTCCTTAATATTTTTCTCTAGGTTATCTTTTTGTTTTATAAATACTTGACTGGATAATTGCTGATTTCACGCAGGCATGTAAGACTTACCACTTTGGGTTTTGTACTCTCACCCAATATCTCAGATCTGGATAATTCCATTGACAAAACA